CAGCTATGTGTAAATGTATGTTGTCTGCCGCAAATCAGCTCATGAACTTTTCACCTTTTCTGCAGAATCATTTTCTTCCATCATAAAAACTAAAAGTGAGGATGCAATAACAGAAAATTCATGAAAAGTGACCAGACTCCCGTAAGAGTGTTGTGTTTCTTTAATATATTTTAATTGTTGTTGAACGTGCCCACCTCAGAGTCCTCAGGACTTTTCAGGACTTTTATTACTAGTATTATTATTATAATATATTTTTCCATTGTTTTTTTTTCTGTGTGTTTTTCTAGTACATGGGTAGTGTGGAAGTGACCCAGTCCATGAGAACCCTTGACTTTGACACAAGAATGCAAGTTACACGGTAGGAGGTCCTCTCTGCACCCCTTTCTAACAAACACAAACAAACACAAATACGAATATATACATCTAATGATATAATACATGAACGTATAATACATGCAACATAATCCTGACTGCAGGGGAATGCCATATATGGATTAGTTGCTGTTTCGCTTGCACACAGATGAGGAAAAAAAGTGAGCAAAATTGCTTTATCCTGAACTCATTTAACATATATTTGCCAAGCTAACCATGTGTAGCTTATTTCAAAAATGTTTCAAAGAGGGAAATCAAATTAAATGTATAATATTTCATAAACGGGGCTTTCTCCTCATCATTTGATATTGAAATCCTAGTGCAGGATGCCATAACACAGCCCTCTCTGTTTACAGAAGCGCTGTTGAATGATGGAGCAGAAAATCCAATTAGATGAATTTCCTCCTAATGAGCCCTCAGTCTTATTAAAAGAGAGAGAGGGAGACAGACCTCAATCCAATTCTTACAATGTGTTTTCAAGAAGAAAAACGGTCTTCCTGGAAATCAGCATTGCTTCCTAGGTAGTGGGATGTTCCATTTGTGCGCGTGGGGGTGTTTTTTTCCTTTGCCCTCGCTGACCCAAGCGTCAGAGATACAATCTCAGCTCGGACTGACTTGATAAAAAAAGAAACATACCAGGAATATTTTTGAAATGTTACTGCTTTAACACAGCAGATGGAAGTTTGTGATCAGCTATTCTAGTTATGTTTTTTTTTGTTGTTCTTCTTCTGTAATTTTTTCTTCACTACAGTGATTATTGCAAGTTATCCTTAAAAGAAGGATTTAAATATTATGAGCTTATAAGTTACAAGAAAACTGAATTTGTAAAAAGCTAAAAGCAAATTAACAAAAACAACATCTTGCAACTAGTTAGACTTCTTAAAAATAAAGATGAGGAGGATTTCGTAACACTGTAAAAGACCACGTGGGCAATGGCAAGCAGCGCAACAATTTAATAATGTTTCTAAATGCAAAATTCCAAAGAATTGGAAGATTTCATCATATCATTAAAAGATTCCAAGAATCCAGAGAGACATTAGCGAAGGACAAGGCCAAAAACCAATATTGAAAGGGTGTGATCTTCAAGACCTCAGGCAGCACTGCATTAAAAATAGACAATACACAGATTTTATAGTGGAAATCCATGTGTGGGCAGCTGAAGCTCACTGCTAGTGTAGACAGTTTGTGTCCTGGTCCACAAATGCAAATTGAAAATATGCCATACAATTAAAAACAAACTAAGAAACAAACAAAAGCAGTTTTAAAAAAAAGATCCATAAAGGCCGCTACTGTACCTTCTTTGAGCCAAAGCTCATTTAAGATGGAGCGCAGATCACCTGCCTTTATCTCACCCTCCATCCTCCTTTGTCATACCAATCTGCATGTCCTCCTTCACTACATCCCTGAAACTTCTCTGCAGTCTTCCTCTTTTCCTCCTGCCTGCAGCTCTATCTTCAATATCCAGTATATCCACTATACCTGCCCTCTACTCTCAGTACACATCACAATGTTGTCTGGAAACAGTATAGTCCACAGAGACTCCTGCCTGACCTCATCTGTCAACCTGTGCGTCATCACTGCAACCTCAGGTCTCAGAGCTGATCCCTGATGTAATCCCATCCCAACCTTGAACCCGTTTTTCACTCCAGCTGCACACCTCACCACTGTCTCGCTGTCTAACCTGCTGCACATCCTTTCCAGCTCCATCTCTCTGCCTCTGCCAATTTATACAAGTTTTTGAATCTTGCATACAACTCAGTATAAGCCTTTTCCTTTGCCTTTTTTTTTACTTCCCTCTTTCCTCCCAGTGCTCCTGCCCACTTTCTTATTTCCCCCGATATCCCACTTTTTCTTTGCTAATCTATTCCTTGGAATATTTTCCTGTACTTCCTCATTCCACCACCAGGTTTCCTCATCCTCTATCCTCCATCCAGAGAATACACCAAAGACCTTTTTTGGACTTTCCCAAAGTACTACAGCTACTTCCATTCCAGTCATCTGGTACCTCTTCTCAACCGACCAACTCTTTCAACATTCTTCTTTCTTTCTTTCTCATTTAATCATTTAATGGCTCTGTCTTCACAAACTCTTTTTTTTTTTATTTCCAAAGTAATCATTCAGACTACTAACCAATGCTGCCTGGCACATTCTCCCCTGCCACCACCCTGCAGTCTCCTATCTCTTTCAGGTTGCAGCTTTTGCATAAGATGTAGTCCACCTGTGTTCATCTTCTTCCACATATATACATTACCCCATGTTCCTCTCTTTTGTTGAAGTACATGTTTACCACCGAATATTAACCAAAAATTCAGAAAAAGTTATTAATTGACTTGCATGTAATGGAGTGAAATAAGTATTTAATCACCCAGCCAGAATTCTTGCTCCTACGATTAGCTGTGTGCACATGTAACACACAGATTACAATCAATTACGGATACTCCTGATCTCATCTTGTTATGGATAAGACCAAATACATGTCAATGGACATCAGGGACAAGATTTTAGACCAGCACAAAACTGGAATGGGCTACAAGACCATCAGCAAGAAGCTCATTGTGAAGGTGACAACTCTTGCTGCGATTATTCAGAAATGGAAGAAATTTAAAATGACCATCAGTTTTCCCTGGTCTGCAGCTCCATGCAAGATCCTACCTCACAGGGTGAGGATGATCCTGAGAAAGATGGCGAATCAGCTCAAAACTACACTGGAGGAGCTTGTTAATAATCCTAAGACACTTGGGACCACAGCCACCAAGAACACTGTTAGGAACACACTGCCATATGCTGCATAGTGGATTGAAGTCTTGCAGCACATGCTCAACAAGGCACATGAACAGGCTCGTATTAAGTGAACATTTAGATGATTCACTGGGAGAAAGTGCTGAGATTGGGGGAAGAGAAATGCTGAGCATGTGTGCAAACTTAGTGACCAACTACAAGAAATGTCTTATCAGTGTGCATGCCAACAAGGGTTTCTCCACCAAGTACTAAGTCATGTTTGGCTTTTGAATCAAATACTCACAATGACATGCAGGGGGGGTTTGGTTGTGTGTACTAAATGTACTCCAAAACTAAAGTAATAAAGTATTTGAGTAAGTATATTTGGTTACATTCTTCCAGCAGTGCATGTATATGTGCTTTCTGTAGTGTAGTTTTCTTCCTCTCACATGCACATCACATGTCAGCAGGGCACACCAGATCACATACAAAGGTATCTCTGTGCTACTGTGTGCATGTGCTTATGTACATGCTGATCTGTGTCTATGTGTTTGTGTGCAGAGAGGCAATCAGCAGACTTTGTGCGAGGACATTGCTCAAAACAGCAGTGAAAACTAAAAGGGTAAGGCTTGTGTACACAGACAGGCACACACTCATATTCACACACTCTCTCTTTCTGGCACATTCAGCTGGAATAACAGTGTTTTTTGTCATCATTAGCCTGTTTGCAAGGGACTGTCTTCTGTTCTGGGTCAAACCAACCTGCAGTTTTCTGGAAGAAGGATCATCCTCACTGTCTCCACCGACAGTATGACTCTAATCGCTGCCTCCTCCTTACAGGTGACAGTCTCAGCATGTTAAACCCCATCAAAACAGCCTCATGTCAGGTTTACTGGCAAACCTATCTGCTATTGTATCATTTCCTCTTTTCTCTTTCACAGAAGATTGCCCACCACCCCATGCAGACCATTTCATTTGCCTCCGGTGGAGATTCAGTATGTTCATATTCTCAAATCTTTCCCCTTGTACACGTTGATGATCAGATAGGGACACAAACAGGGTAGCAAGAGCACAATCACACACACAGTGAGTAATTTGATTTAGTCTGATTATTGCATGGTGTACTACCATTTATGGAGGATTAAATCATTTCCTGCCTCAACTCTTGATCATTCTGCTCTTTTAATTAGTGGTACAAGGTCAGGATCTGAAAGCATGCTACAAATGAAACTTCAGACTTTGGCAAAAATGTCTAAACATTCCCTTGTGATTAATTTTAATGAATAACGATTTATGCAAAGAACCTCTGATATTCAACAGTATATTATCCCCAGCATTCAGAGTGTGCTGGGGGTATACTGACCTTTATTTTGTTAAATTTAATTTGGATTCTTCATTCTTGGGAGAGTGTCACGTGAATGTTTTGCCTGTTTCAGAAGC